GGGACAAATCCTCCACTTGAACACGACAGATGTTTACTAAAATTACAGTACAATAAAATTGAATCATTGATAAACACAAGAAAGCAAAAGTCATGTATTAAAGGTGATAGTGATTTGAGAGGGGAAGGAAGAGAGAGAGGATGCAATAGAAACTTGGACTGAGAAGAATCAGATCTGGAGTGACTAAGTATGAAACTTTTCTCTGAGCACCCTAGAAGCCAAGGCAAGGAGGGACTTTCAATGGATCATATCACTCCGGATCTAACAAAAGAAAGCTCCCAGCTTTGGTGGATGATATTGATATTTTCCTGACTCTGAACTTGGAGAATAATTTGTCTTCGAGAATTTAAAGGAGAAACACTGAACAACATAATGAGGTCCTGTGTTTTCAAAAAGCAAGTTTTCAAATAGATGTGTTTCACATTTTGCCTGATGAAAGCCAGGGATATAGCATTAGACCGTTACTCTGTAAAGTTAATTATTCAAAAGGCCAGAGTGACACAGTCCAAAGAAGTAACCTAAGGAAGCTCTCAAAGGCAGAAAACCTGTGATGAAATACTAGCCATGCCACTTACTAGTGGAGACACTTTAGCTAGGTCCATTTCGATCTCTGAGCTTACATTTTTTCATTTTAAAGAAGGAGGGATAAGATCTCTGTTTTCTGATTATATGTGAGAGTTGAATTAAATAGCATGGTGAAAGTACCTTTAACTCTTCAGATATAAACACATGTATAGTATTTTCATCAGGAAAATGATACTCTAGAATCTTCTAGACAAAATCAGATCAAATTACGTATATTTTATAATTAATTACATAAAATGTTCAACTGATGAGTCATTAAATAGTGAAAGGCTATGCTAAGTTTTCATTGAAGCTCTAAGTAAAAGCCTTTTTTATGCCACCTTTTATTATTTTGCTTTTAAATTTATTGTGTTTCAAATAAATAAGATGCCATCAACAAAAGAAATAGGTTTTTGTTTGCTTGTTTTTAGAGATGGGGTCTTGCTATGTTGCCCAGGCTGGCCTCAAGCAATCCTCCCACCTCAGCTTCCCAAGTAGCAGGTGTTACAGGCATGAGCCACTGTGCCCAGCAAGAAATAGTTTTTATTTGCTAAGGATTTTAAGGCAGTGATTATAACACTAAATAAAACCCTGTAGACATTATTATTACCAATGTGATCATTAATACTGCCATCATTACTTCTCCCAATGGCTACAATTTATTGATCATTTACTATTGGCCATACATAAAATGAAATGCTTTTGCACACATCAAAAATGCAACTCCTGGACTAGTATGAGGAGAAGGGTAGTTTTTATAACACCGCTCATGAGCAATACATTTAGAGTAGCCACTTACTTCTGACCCTAAGTTCCTCAGGTGTAGAATAACATGATTATACATTTCAGGGGATTCCTTCTAGACTTTAAGATTCTATTAATTGCTTTGTCAGAGTCAATTTAATGGTGAAAAAGTTGCTTCTCAATTTGTGATATATTCTAGGCATGTTCACCCTAGTTAGGAATTGATACTTTTCTTGTGTTGTTCTCCTTGGTAGTGTAGTAAAAGTAGCACCATTATTTTTTCTTCCTGTGAACCTGGTGGCATATTCTTTCATAAAAGAGGACATGTCTTCTACAGCTTGTGGAATTCTGTGAAATGTGTTTCCCTAAAAAGAATATTAAGGACCCAAAAATCTTGTGTTACTGCCTAAAATTAGTGGGTGTTCATTGTGTTTCTAAGGAATATTCCATTGCTTAATCAAATCCCCAGAAGTTCAGCAATTTTCATTGGTTAAGATCATGGTTAATATACCAAAATAGAATCTAGTGGGTTTTCAGCTTTGGCCGCACATGGGAGTCATCGGGAAGCTTCAGAAAATATCAGTGCATGAATCCTACCACTAAAGAGACTGTGAATGACTCTTCAGATTTGACTGGTCTAGGGAGAAGCCTGGACATTGGGATTTTGTTTTTCTAACACTTTCCCAGGTGATCCTAATGTGAAGTGAAGAACGAGATTTACTGGTCCATTTGCTATTGTCAGTGAGGCAGAACATCGCAGATTTGAAGATGAAAAGTGCCAATCAGAACCCGTTGGTGGATACCCTACTGAAAAAATCAGCATTATAGATCAGTAGGGTCCAAACCAACACTTAAAAGGCTAGTGAAACCAGCAGTATAGAAAAGTGTAAGAAGGTTGTAAGAAGGTTTTTTCAGTGTCTATACGTTATTTGGGGGGCTCATGAAATGAGAAAGAGTTGAAATGAAATGTATGTCATCTTAATAATAATAAAAAAAAAATCTGTGAGTCTTCTTTATCTATTTGTTCTGCTTTATAACTGTCAAAATCCAGAAGAGGCGCCTGGGAAACGTGATACATATTCACCATATTCTCCTGCCCCTCACATTCCTTTTGGAAGGCACCAAACTTCCTTTTCTGATTCGAAGGTCTTTTTTAAACAGTTTATACTGTCATTGTATCCTTAAGGCTCTATTTAAATTGATAGAACGAAGAGACACAAGAAATCTACCAAAATGAGAAACCAACTCGAGGTAATCTTTTGGGAATTTCTTTGCTTTCTTACATAGCATCCAACACATGGCTCTGTTCTGGTATGTTTAGGAAATTATGCCCGTCCTGTCTCTGTTTGCTTTTTAAACCAACTTTTTTGATTTCTTGCAATTTTTCTGTCCAAAGATAAATTGATTCTGCACAGCAAAGATAAATTCCAATGCAGAAACTGAAGAGAAACTGTTTATGTGGTTGAGGTGCATATTTATAGGATTCTTGATTTGGCAGTGAGACCTGGAGGAGCTGCACCCCAGCTTGTGGTGTACACAATGGTCCTTTTTCAGTTCTATGAAATGAGAGGTTTTCATCTCCTCTAGGAAGCTTGTCAGGTCTGGTCTACAGATGGCTGACATTTGGGCCTTTTCTTAGATCTGCTTGTGACTTCTTAAAAAAATTTTTGAGGTTAAATGTATAAATAATATGGAAGGAAGTAAATGCTTGAGGTTAATGTTTGCAGGAAAAACCAGGGAGGGGACTTTTTGCTAAAGGTGTTTTTTGAAATGCTGTTCGATTTCCTACAGATTGACACAGTAACCCAAGATAAGGGGTTTTCACTCTTTTTTTTTTCAATGTTTATAATTACCACAAAAATGTACCTTGTCATCTAAAGCAGAGAAATATTCAAAGTTGTCATAGTATTATCCTTTTTTTTTTTTTTTTGCTTACTTTTTCCACTCTATAAAATGATGAGAGAAAATTAAGATGTTTAGAAAATTAAAAGCTTGGAAAAATAAATATCCTCCACGGTAGTATTTAGGGGTTTAAAAGAAGGAGGAGGAGGAAAATGAGGAGGAGAGGAAGAAAGGTCGCAACCATCATATATTTTCACTGAATACTTGAAAATTTCAGCAATTTTAATCTTCGGAGGATTTATTTTCCTAGTAGTAAGAATTCTTAATATTTTGTTTTCTCATATATCAGCCTTTATCACTATTAAATAGTCTGTTAGTTGTGTGTGTCTGTGTATGTGTGACAAGGGAACTTAGAACTGTAGTAATGCATTTTCTCATAATACAATTACATCTTGAATCTAAATTTGGATTTCATTAAACTATAGGACATAAGTAAGAAGTTTGGTTGTAAATAATCGAAAACAATTTTGACTAATTTAGGCAAGCATTAAGAGGTATTGCAGGGATATTAGGGTTATTTCACAGTGCCTAAGGACTGAAATGTGTCAGTGTGTTAGGTTGCCATTAAAATGGCTCTCAAAGATTCCTGCCTCGTGATACCCACACCTTGTGTCATTTTCCTACCATGAGTAGAAAGACTGGCTGTAGTGACTTCTAACAAGCAAAATGCAGCAAAAGTCATAAGATTCTCCTCTGAGATTAGTTAGACTGTGACTTCCTTCTTGGTTGCTCTTTCCTTTTTCACTCTGATGAAGGCAGATGTCATGCTGTAAGCTGAGAGGCTTATGTGACAGGAAACTGAGGGCAGCCTCTGGCCAACAGTTAGTGAGAAACTGAGGCTCGTAGTGTAACAGTCTGCAGGGAACTGAATCCTGCTGCAACCATATGAGTGAACTTGGGAAAGGACCCTTCCCCATTTGAAATTTCAGATGAAACACAGCCTCAGTCAGGACTTTGACTGCAATCTCATGAAAGGCTCTGAGACAGGGGATCCAACTACATCCTGTATAGATTCTCAACCCACAGAAATTGTGGGATAAGACATGTTTCTGTGTTAAGTCACTTAGTTTTGAGACAATTTGGTTAACAACAGCAGGTAAGTATTATAGTTAGTAGAAGTGTGTGAGCCGTGAATATTGGCAGAGCGGAGGGAGGGGCGTAAAATGCTTTTACTGCTCCTTAATTTCCTTTTTCGCTGGGTGTCTGCCTCATTCATCTCTCTCATTACCAAGCCACTCTGTCTGATCCTCAGCATCCAAGTATACCAAGAGCTGCCACATTTACCTGACTTTAGTTTCTGTCATCTGGAGGAAAAGTAATGTCTTTTTAGGCACCTTTCCAAAACTCTAATGGCAGGCATTGGATTGGCTGATCTTGGGTCAGAAGCTGACCTCTAAACCAATCTTCTGTACCCAGGAGGAAAACATGCAAGGGAGAGATTGTGAATGACTCTTCTTGGATCAAGTGCACCAACAGCAATTTTTGTGGTAATTATAGAAACTAAATGTAGCTGGATTTACAGTTCGTTTCACTATTTTTCTTACTTTGGCTTATCATTTATATAACATGAATTACTAACATGGTGAAAGTACTGTACACCATCACTCTAAAAAGTAAATATAGAAAAATTTAAGGTCTCCTAAAAGAAAACTTCTCATCTAGAAAGTGCATCACATGGGACTTGAGATTGGTACAAAGTACAGGGCAAGATGTAGAAAGTAAAAGCTTGACATTCTTGCTTATTCAGTAAGGATATTATTTGACATTTGAGGCCAACTGAAGCTTCTTACCTCCCTCATATCACAAGTTCATTGGATCCCCGCTCTCTGCCTATTGTCCAACATATGTGAAAACACACAATTCTGGAAAAGGGGGAAAAAACAACAAAAACAGAATCAGTTGTCGTACCAAGGTGACGAACATTTATCAAACTACAACTGTATAATTGTGACAAATAAGAAGGTCCCTTCAGAACTGCCTACACCTATAAATGCAGAATACTGACTTCGATCAAACGATGCAGACAAAACAGACAGGCTTTGCTGCTAGGATCCCAAACAGAACATATCATAGAAGCCTATATTATATTTTGGCCACTATATTTTGGCTTCATATATCAAAAGCATTTTGTAAAGATTAGCTCTGAAATCAGGAAAAATAGGCATACTTTATTGTTATTTTGATGTGATAAGCGCACTGGCAAGAGAGTTAAAGATAGCATTCTGTTGGAAATGGCTGAGATAATGGAACCACATGGACAGGATGCTAAAGGGCAGTTAGTGGGTGTGTGGAATGCCCATGAAATCAGAGGCAGGGATTGGGGGGATGGGGGTGGGGTGAGCACACAGTGTCCACATACAGCACAGCACCTGGGCTTTAGAATCATTCTCCTTGGGTTCAAATCCTTCCTTTGCCAAGTACTAGAGACTTTGAGCACATCATTTACACTCTGTGCCTCAGTTCCTTCATTTTAAAAATAGAGAAATATTGAAAAGTACCTGTATTGTTTTGCTGTCAGGATAAGCTAATTTATATAAAGAGCCTGGCATGGTGTCTAACACAGAGTAGTCACTCAAATATTAGCTTTTATTATTACACACTTTTTGACACCAGTTATTTAAACTCTTTCAACCCCTATGTGCTCATTTGTTAAATGGGGAAATAATTTTAGCAATGACATATGTAATATTATGTGTATGTCCTTGCATATCATATTATACACTTAGTCTAATACAGGCATACCTCGTTTTATGGTGCTTTGGTTTAGTGCACTTTGCTGTTGGTGCATTTTTTACAAATTGAAGGTTTGTGACAACCTTGTGTCCAGCAAGTCTACTGGTGTTATTTTTTCAACATTATGTGCTCACTTTGTGTCTCATGTTCAGTTTTGGTGATTCTCTCAATAATTCAAACTTTCAGATATTTCAAACAGGAAATCTGTTTACAGCATGGTTTACTGAATATTTTAAGCCCACCATTGAGACCTACTGCTCAGGGAAAAAAAAGAAGGAAAAAAGATTCTTTTCAAAATGTGACTGCTCTTTGACAATGTATTTGGTCACCCAGGAGCTCTGAAGGAGTTGTGCAAGATTAATGTTTTCATGCCTGCTAATACAACATTCATTCTGTAACCCATGAATCAAGAGTAACCTTGACTTTCAAATCTTCTTACTTAAGAAATACGTTTCAGGTAGCTACAGCTTCAATAGATACTGATTCATCTGATGAGTCCGGGCAAAGTTGAACACCTGGAAAAGATTCACCATTCTAGATGCCATTAAGAATGCTTATGAGTCATTGGAGGAGGTCAAAATATCAACATTAACAAGAGTTTGGAAGAGGTTGATTCTTCTTCCTTATAGATGACTTTGAGAGATTCAAGACTTTGGTGGAGGAAGGAACTGCAGTTGTGGTAGAAATAGCAAGAGAACTAGAATTAGAAGTGGCATCTGATGATGTGACTGAATTGCTACAATATCGAGATAAAACTTGAAGGGATGAAGAGTTGCTTCCAATGGATGAGCAAAGAAGGTGATTTCTTGAGATGGAATCTACTTCTGGGAAGGACATTCTGAACGTTGTTAAAGTAACAAAGGATTTAGAATATGACAAACTTAGTTGATAAAGCAGTGATGAAGTTTGAGAAGATTGACTCCAATTTTGAAAGAAGTTCTACTGTGGGTGAAATGCTATCAAACAGATCACATGCTACAGATAAATCTTTCACGAAAGGAAGAGTCAATTGACACAGCAAACTTTATTGTTGTTTCATCTCAAGAGATTGTAACAGTCAGCTCAGCCTTCAGCAACCACCGCCTTGATCAGTCAGCAGCCATCAAGATCAAGGCAAGGCCCTCCCCTGGCAAAAAAGATTACAATTCACTGAAGGCTCAGATGGTCATTAGCATTCTTTTAGCAATAAATATTTTTAGGCTGCACATGGTTGCTCATGCCTGTAATCCCAGCACTTTGAGAGGCTGAAGCGGGTGGATCACCTGAGGTCAGGAGTTCAGGACCAGCCTGGCCAACGCAGCAAAACCTGTCTCTACTAAAAATACAAAAATTAGCTGGGCCTGGTGTCATGTGCCTGTAATCCCAGCTACTTGGGAAACTGAGGCAGGATACTCGCTTGAACCCGGGAGGTGGTGATTGCATTGAGCCAAGATCATGCCATTGCACTCCAGCCTGGGCGAAAGAGCAAGACTCCATGTCAAAAAAAAGAAATTTTAAATTAAGGTTTGTCCATTGAGGTTTTTAGACATAATATTATTGCACACTTAACAGACTATAGTGTAGTTTAAACATAACTTTTACATGTATTGGGAAACCAAAAATTTTATGAGGTTTGTTTTATTGTGATACTATCTTTACTGTGGGGATCTCTAACCAAACTCGCACTATCTCTGAGGTATGCCTGTGTATTTTTTTCTTAGTTCTCTGGGAATGAGAAGAGAAAAGAAGTTTGTAGTTCTTTCCCAATCATGTTGGATCACAGTTGCAGTCCAAACGATGGTGTGTTCGTTTTCTAGGACTGCTATAACAAGTTATCACAAACTAGGTGACTTAAAACAACAGAAATTTATTCTCATAGTTTTGGAGACCAGAAGTCTAAAGTCAGAGTGGCAGCAGAGCCATGCTCCCTCTGCAAACCCTAGAAGAGAATCCTTCCTTGATTATTCTAGTTTCCGCTGGTTCCTGTGTTTCTTGGTTTATGGCAGCATGATTCCAATCTCCACTTCCACCTTCGTATGGTCATCTTCTCTACGTATATCTGTCTCCAATCTCCCTCTCTTCTCTCTCTCTCTCTCTCTCTGAGTCTCACTCTTACTCAGGCTGCAGTGCAGTGGTGCAATCATGGCTCGCTGCCGTCTTGGACTCCTTGGCTCAAGCAATTCTCCCACCTCCCCCTCCCTAGTAGCTGAAACTACAGGCGCACACCACCACACCCAGCTTTTTTTTTTTTTTTTTTTAATTAATTTTTAGTACAGATGGAGTCTCATTATGTTGCCCAGGCTGGTCTTGAATTCCTGCGCTCAAGCAATTCTCCCACCTCAGCCTCCCAAAGTGCTGGGATTACAAGCATTAGCCACCGTGCCTGGCCTCTCCTTTCCCTTATAAAAATACTAGTCATTGTATTTAAAGTAGATAGCAAATCCAGGATGATTTCATCTTGAAATACATAACTCATATCTGTAAAGATCCTGTTTTCAAATAGTGTCACACTCTAAGATTCTGAACAGATAGAAGCATTGAGGGGACACTATTCAACCACTACAGGAGTAGTTTTCCAAATGCATTGGAGGGGTAAAGAGAAAACTTCGTCTGCTTCTGAAGTTTTGCTGAAAAGCAACTGACAAAAGGCAGATTAATAGGAGAACAGGAGTACAAAGTTACTAATGCACTCAAGTGCGTGGTGGGGGGGGCAGGGGTTGGGGGGGTATCACAGATTAATTACCCAAATACCTAGTGTGGTATAGAAGCTTATGTACCCTTTTTCATAGGGGTGGGAGGAGATGAGGAATGCATCTCTTTTGAAGGGCAATAAATCATTGGGAAGAATGAATGGGTCAGGGAGGTGGAAGGCAGACATTAAGGGAAGGTGAGACGGAACTGTGCTGCACATTGCTTTATGCAGATAGAGTTCCGCAGGTAATTTCTTAGAGTTGCCCTCAGAAGAAGAGATGAAAAGTCTGTCTGGGGCTGGACATAGTGGCTCATGCCTATAACCCCAGCACTTTTTGGGAGGTTGAGATGGGAGGACTGCTTGAGTCCAGGAAGCCGAGGCTGCAGTAATGCAGTGAGCCCAGATTGCACCACTGCACTCCAGTTCAGATGACAGAGTGAGACCCTTTCTCAACAAAACAAAGTCTTTCTGGGTATGGTGACCCCAGTCTCTGCTTTTCTGTGGTGGTTGATCATTTCTGGTTCTTTGATAAGATTTCTAGGGAGGGAGTCTTAAGACAATTGCATTTCTCTTGGAAAGAAGCTCTCCTGATCAGGTAAGAAAAACTGAAACAGAAACTCACCCTGTGCTTGGGGAGGCAGAGACAAGGTTTTAGAAGGGTCTTGATTCTTAGGCAGCTTCTAAAGTCTCTCAGCATGCCAAAGTGCCTATCTTCAGGGTTTCGCTTTCTGAAATCCAACAATATCTAACTCTTTCTTGCCATTTACATGCACTCGACACACATTTCGGGAGTATCTACTGTGTGTTGCATACAGAGCCTGGTCATGGGGGTGCAAAGCAGATTACTTTATTAAGGAGTTTGCAATGTTTTAGAAAGGTGTATAGTAAATAGGTCTTCTGGAGCAATAGTCACAAAGAAAGGGAATAAAAGCTCATTATCTCAGGGTGGTCTTCCTCTGATGCCCTGAGACAGGGTCTTGCTCTGCTGCCCAGGCTGGAGTTCAGTGGCAACATTTCGGCTCACTGCATCCTCTTCCTCTTGGGCTCAAGTGATCCTCCCACTTCAGCCTCCTGAGTAGCTGGGACTGAAGGCATGCGTTACCATGCCTTGCTAATTTTTTTGTATTTTTTGTAGAAACTTGCCTTTGTCATGTTATCCAGGCTCGTCTCAAACTCCTGAGCTCAAGGAATCCACTGGCCTCGGCCTCCCAGAGTGCTGGAATTACAGGTATGAGCCACTGTACCTTGGGTAGGGAGCACTTGCTGAAGTAGATAAAACCTATAGTTCTCACAAGTTCTTTACTCATCTATTCAAAGGTCCAGGAGGAAAATGAAAGTATAAGAGAGAAAGAAGGAAATAGACTTGGTCGGACAGGTCATTCTCACCCTCTAGGTTAAGCAGAACTAAGATGGTCTCTTGAGTGTCCAACCCCTTGCTCCAAATACAGTTGCATCCAA